CTAACAGAGTGTATCTGCGTTGATTTCTCTAGGGTGCTGACGGGTCGCGCCAGCCATCTGCTCTGGAACTCCAGCTTGCTGAAGAACAGGGCAAGGCGTTCTACGGAGCCGTTTCCAAAGTCAACTTTGAATGACTCGAAGAGCCGTCGTCCGTCTCCAATGGTTCTGGGAACGCAGCTCAGACCAGCCGGCAAAATGATACGCCTTCGTCTGCGCAACAGCCCGCCAACAGTGCCGAGCAGGGTGAGAAGGCTGGGCCCTGCGGGTTGCCAAAGTGTCACATAGTTTGAGGGAACATGTTTTCTCCTTAACAGCAGCTTTTTATTCCATTAGTGGCTGGAAAAGGAGAATGTTGGTGTTTGCTTTCATTTCTTGTGGGAAACTCCCTTTCGCTGTAGTTAAGGCTATGAGAAATGAATCCGATAACAAGAAATAAACCCTATGTAGTTACCTATTCTTCCATTAAATATGACTTGCATTATATATATATTTTACATTTGTGTGCGGGACTGCATCAACAGAACCAGTTTCCAGGCCGTTCAATCAACAAGTCATGTGACAGTGCGTGCTCGCCCCAATTGACGTAAACTATTCAGGGCATCGAAGGAATTGGCAAACCACTACCGATCAACCTCCCCACAACTCTCCGTCAACTTCGACCAGCTTCTCTCTCAACTTCAGGCAACCCGCCCTCTGACAACTCCCCGTAAACTCTACTACTATTGTTCTCTTCTTTGGTCTTCGCCATGATCTGAGTTTTCCATGCCAGGTTAAAATTGTCGTCGGTTCCTCTACACACCTGCTTCTACTCGAACACACACCCCCCCCCAAAACCCCCGCGCACCCCAGATACATACCAATCTATCATGGCCTCGTCAAGGCCCATATTACTCCGGTTCGAGAGTCGAAACGGCCAGTTCCGGTTAACTGTGAATCCGACAGACGAATTCCCGTCACTTCTTCCCAAGGTCAGCCTCGGGTATTGGACATTGGTGTTGCTCTCCTGATTCTAACCCGTTTTGCATTTCCTTCCCCCCCCCCCCTCCATTTTAGGTTCTCGAGAACTTGCCAAATAACGCTGCTCCCTCGTCTGTTGTACTTTCAAACAAAGCTATAGGCACTGGAGGCCAGGAGAGAAATATTTCGTCGCTGAAGGGAATTACTATCCAGCGGGTTGGGCTGTCGTAAGTGAGCTCCCAACGTTTGTGTGTTTCGTTCGCTTGGATTATGGTAGCTCACACCAGCCCAGTCATGGAGACAAGCTTTTTGTTGGCTATGATGAAGAAACCAGTCGAGCAAATGGTAGCGCAAATGGGTTCCCTTCAACCACCTCCCTACTCCATGATGCACCACGCCGTCTAGATGGCGTCGCAGTGCCGCCACAAGAGCAGCGTCCCGCTCTTCCCGTCCAGATCTCCTCATCGCCCGCAGCGCTCATCAAGAACCCGTGGGAGGTTGTCACGCAGTCACCGCTCGACGATCGATTGGATCGACAGGATGGAAAGATAAGCCGTAGCCTGGATCATAAAATGTGCCGCCATGGACCCAGAGGCATGTGTGACTACTGTATGCCCCTCGAACCGTATGCACCCGAGTATCTTGCGGAGAAGAAGATAAAACACCTGTCTTTTCATTCGTATCTTCGGAAAATAAACTCGTCCACGAACAAGCCGGAGCTGAAAAGCTCTTATATACCCCCCCTCTCGGAACCCGACTACAGAGTCAAACGAGATTGCCCGTATGGTCATCCGGCTTGGCCTGAGGGCATTTGCACCAAGTGCCAGCCTAGCGCAATTACACTGCAGCCACAACCCTTCCGCATGGTTGACCATGTTGAGTTTTCTTCTCCCGACCTCATCAATTCATTGTTGGATTTCTGGCGAAAATCTGGAGCTCAAAGACTTGGCTTCTTATATGGGACATACGAAGAGTATACCGAGGTTCCGCTTGGGATAAAGGCCGTCGTCCAGGCAATCTATGAGCCGCCGCAGGTCGGTGAAGTGGATGGTGTCACGCTTCACGAGTGGAGCAACGAAAAGGATATTGACGAGGTGGCCAAGTTATGCGGGTTGGAGAAAGTGGGGGTTATTTTCACGGACCTGCTGGACTCGGGCGCCGGGGATGGTACAGTTATCTGCAAGCGGCATATTGACTCCTACTATCTCTCCTCTCTGGAGATTGTGTTTGCTGCACAGCTACAGGCTAGGTACCCCAAAGCATCAAAATGGAGTGAAACGGGCCGGTTTGGATCAAATTTTGTGACTTGTGTCCTCAGCGGGGATGAAGATGGTGCAATTTCAATCAGCGCATACCAAGCGTCTAATTCCGCGGTTGAAATGGTAAAAGCAGACATCATTGAACCTTCAGCAGATCCGGGTGTTATGCTTGTGCAACAGGAGAACGAACCCGAGGATGATTCCAGTAAAATCCGATACATCCCGGAGGTATTTTACCGCAAGGTTAATGAGTACGGTGCCAATGTTCAGGAGAACGCAAAACCCAGTTTCCCTGTTGAATACCTGCTTGTCACCCTAACCCACGGGTTCCCCACTGACCCTAACGCCGTGTTTAAGAATTCAACCTTTCCTATTGAAAATCGCGCGGCCATTGGAGAGAGCCAGGAATTGAAATCTCTTTTCGATCAGCTAGTATCCCACAATGACCCTCACCAGGTGTTACGGGCTGTATCTGACTTCCATCTTCTCTGCTTTCTCTGTGGTCTTGGTATCTTGAGTAAGGTAAGGTTTGCCCCTTCAGGATCTTTGCATATCTTCTATTGTCTATTTTTTTTTTTTTAACGCTCGTGGTACCACCGCTCTAGGACGAAGAATCGCTCTTATGTACCGTCGCCCGGACCCATGATCCCGCGGATGGTATGCAGTTGGTCAACACACCCGGCTGGGCCACCCTGATTGCCATACTTCAGGAGAGCGGTGAGCGGCCCCCTAAACGCCCTTGGCCCTTCCAGCCACAAAATTCTCTCTCTTCTCACCGGCGTTCCAAACGTTCAGCCGTTCCTAAGTCGGAGCATTCCCCTTCCGATGGTGAACAGCTTGCTAAGAGGTTTAAGGGGACTAGCTTAGGGTAGCGCTCTCCTGTACAGTATCCGACTTTTTCCCGTGTGATCCCTCGTCGTTCCTCGTTGAGAACCGGAATGTTGTTCGAACCTGCGATATTCGTATGCCAGTCACGATGATTAGAAATTACCCTCCACTTTTCCTATATCCTCCCTCGAGATGCTCTGTCGGCACAGAAGTGTCCTCTCGCGAGCATTGCTCTCTCCTTGTCAGTCGACTCGAACATACCCGTATATCCTCTTTCCTATAATCTATTTCCAATGATATTCCTTTTTTGTTTCCCCCACTGAACGTGATGAATTGACGCGGAATCAGACACAAGGGATACGGAGTTAATGAAGGAACATTTTTATGTTTTGAAAAAAAAGTGATCAAAACCTGAACGCACAAACCAGTTTTAGTAGTATCATTGAATAGAAAACTAATCCATATAATCTGGTGGAGAATTGAAGCCTCCCAAGTTTCATTTTATCTCCCTTTGCCGTGAATCTATCCTACAGCTCCACCATTTCAGTATCTCAGACTTAGAATATATCAAATTTAGATATGTTGGTCTCGAAACTAACGCCTGCGCCAGAGATCGAAAAATGTCGCACTGGCAACAACTAAAAGGACAAATGCAGCTTCGACAAATTTGATAGTCGGAAGAAGAGGGCAAAAAAGGCATCCCCATTACAATTTTCTGAAACAGCAGGTTTTGCCCTTTGTCCAACTCAGCTCACAACTTGACCAGTTTCTTCAACCTCTCTCCAAGCAAGGCTCTGCCGTAATCCGTTCGCCAAACCTCATGCGGTGCATCCTCGACCACATCCCATGCTACCAGAGTATCAGTTATATTGGTCAAATCCTTTTGTTTGTCCGCCCACTTCTTGCTCTTCTTCATTTCGAGACCCGAACTCACCACAACCAGCCGCGTGGACCTGGATTGGATATTCTTCGCGTTTGATATTTCGCTCTTCGTCGTGGAATCCGCAACCAGATTCTCCTGCAGCTTGGCCTTGGTGAATTTCCCGCCTTCCCAAGCCCGCTTACCATACACCCGGTCTTCTCTCGTGTAGCCCTTGACTATCGCCCCGAATAACCTGTCCAGGCCGAGCGGGGAGAATATACCGCGAACCCACAGCATGAAGCCCCGTCGTGGATTCCCTAGTTCGGGTAGAAAATCTTCATGCAGGGAGTCGATAAGCATCATACCGGTGACGTCATGTGCATGCCCGCTGGCAAAGATGCGGCTGTATATCCCACCTACGCCTGCGGATACGACGACCCACGGACCGCTCTCGCCTGCAAGGGCCAGGGCTTCGGAAAGGGCATCGGCGGCCATTCCCGCAGAGTGCGGGGAGGGGGCATTGTCAGACCACCCCATGCCAGGCCTGTCCCAGTAGCAGTAGCGGTCGATCGAGCCGTTGCGATACGCTTCATGGACCCAGCTCCGAAAGGTGTGCTCGACTGGCATTTCCCCCGCCTCGACTAGGACGGTTGCGCTGCGGTTGGCCCCCATCGTCGAGGGCGTTTGTCCAACACACTCCATGTGGACTTGGTATTTGCTGTTATCGACGTAATATTTACTCCCTGGAGCGGGCAGGGTGGCGTCCTTGGCGCGCAGGATCAGCGTAGCCATAAGCAAAATAGATACGAGAACGGTGACGGTCATGACTATCGTCTCGATGAGGACGGCTATCCATTCTCTAAGCGGTCGGCGTGTCTCTTCTCTGCCCGTCAAGCGCTCTTCCTCCTCTCGTTTGCCCCATGCCACGAAGCGGGTCTGAGCTAATAGGTAGAGTGAAATAATCGTCGCCCATACGACAGATGCAATCCCCACCCATCCCTCCTCGACCCGCAGGCGCAGCACGCCGATCACAATGAACATGTTCACTGCTAGAAATAGGCATAAGGAGGCTCCCCATATCGTCATAGGCATCGACGGGATGGAGAAGAATATCAGGGCAATGAACAGGTTGCTCATTGTTAAAGTCGTAAATGAGAAATCGGAGAACCCGGACCCGCGGCTGTTCATTTTCGGCGGACTGACGAAGAGTGACACCAGCAGCAGAACCCACCAGGCAAAAGTCATCACCAGGAAGAGAACCGTGAGGCCTCGCAGTGCTCGCACGCTCCAGAGGTTATATGGGGAGACCTGTTCAAGTTTTTGAGTTCACTTCGTGTATGCAATCGCATGGAAAAGAGGGTTGGCAGCTCTAGGGAAAGATATTGACGTCTTACAGCTGGGTCATCAGGATCCAAATACGGTCTTCGAGGTAGCAAACGTGACCGCTCAGTTGGCTCTCGGTCTCCGCTGCGGCCCCTTTCTGCAAAGTCGTCTCCTCTCCGTGTTGCTTCCTCCCCGCCATCCGTCTCTTGATGGCACGAACGCCACAGTGAGGACATATTGGAAAGATGTCTAATTCATGAATGACAATTTATGTGTATATATATATATATATATATATATATATACGAGGCTTAAAAATGAGTGCAAAGAAGACGATGCTGGTATTGTATGCTAGATTTTCCTGTGCTGTTGGGTCGAAATGCACAACGTATAGATGGTGATATGAAAAATTTGATTTACCAAAAATTTGAAGGGAAAGGCGTACGGGAGGATATACACGATTTATTTCTTCTTCGTGGCAAAGAAAGGAATCATACGTTTTTGAGTCCTGTTTTGTCGCTCTTCGACCCGATCCGCATCGACCATCGTCATCGAAACAGATGACGTCACTACCACAAGCCCCATAAATAAGGTATTCACGTGACAGATCCATTCCAACTTTTCAACTTAACGACTCTTCGTTCAATGCGGCGGGATGGTTTCAAAAAAGAAAAATGGGCGAGATAAGATATTTCATGGTGGTGTCTGCAAAGCCTTATTCATGTAGCATGTGGTGCTCCTGTCTTCTCTCAGATTATCGCATAGTTATCCGGACCAACACGAAACGCTATGATTGATGATACCAACCAAGCACTCAACTGTTCCTTTTACAATATTAACTACCTGTTACTCCGAATAGCTGCGGGCGTCTACTCCGTTCAGAGCCTGTTGTTATATGCCGTATCCCGGTTTTATGCTTTCGTGCTACCTCCTGAATGACTTTTTCACCCGACTGTGGAGTGCTTCCCTGCATCCCAAGGATGCACCTCTTTTGCCTCGAAATTTGGGAATCACACCATATCCAAGGATAATAACCCCTTCCGTTGAGTCTGAGAAGCGTTCTTCCCAGATGGTTTGTGTGTCAAGCTTGCATCGGAAGAAAGCCAATGCTTTTGCTTCCAATGTCAGCATCCTTTTCTCCCACCTATTCCGTCATAGCTACAACAATCCTACAAGCTTCTCTAGTGTAGTGTAGTCTCAACAAAGCAACTTGCCTGAACATATAGGTCATCATTGGACCTGGGGATGAAAGCTGGTAAACTACCTTTTGCATGCGGTGAAGGATTGCGCTCGTTCATTAAAGGACTGCAATTCTGTCGATTTAGGTCAAGCTGAACAATCCTCCATCCTAAAACACCTAGAACGCTATAACAGTCATCCCTTCTTCGTCCACGTCGTATTCAGAACTACTTCCTAACCCCCAAGTGTTTACTGGAGGTTCACTCATATTGGCTTTGGATTTTTGGATTTGCTCCCCCCGACCCTTGGTTCGTAGTCGAATAAAGCCCGCCCCTCTGGGCACAATCTCGATCCGAATAATCACTATTTGAATTTGCTATTGTTCGAAGCAGATAAACTTTGGATCCCTAAATAGTCCCCTAGCACTCAAGATCGTAAAATAAGCATTTATCTGGAAAAGCCATGGTTTTTCGTCCCGAGATGTTACTGTGTTAGAGAGCGCTGGCTGCCAAACTCCAAAGTTACCAGGTAAATATCGTAAAGCTGATACACGCTGGTAACAACGATATTCAAAACTCCCAACAGCGAAATAGTAATCGCTCACATCCAAACGCAACGATCTGGCTCCTCAATTGATCGATGTTGTCTCCACCTGCTCGTCTCTGCCATAGAAATTCTACAAAAATCAGGATCGCAGGCAGGGCTTCTCCTTGAGGGTAAATATAATATGTCCACTGAAAGTGTATCGGCCTGCTTTAAGCACCTTTCGGAACCTCCCAAAGCTTTAGTCAAACCCCTCTCCAGTACTTCCCCTCAATTCCTCTCCCTTCTCCTCCCCCAATATACGTATACGGAACCAATATGAGCGACCTTCAAAAATCGTTTGCCAAATCGCGGCTGGCCAAGCTACCGCCAGAGGTACCAGTCTTCGACGAACGTGAGGAGAGAGAGAATGATCACGACGGTAGTATCGCCTCCGTGTATCATGATCCGCGTGATGACGATTCTTCCTCAGCTTCATCCGCCTCTTCTACAGGGACAGTGAGGCCATCGGCAAGCCAAAGCTTATTTGCACGCACTCCTCGGTAGGCGAGTGTTCTCTTCTCCAGGGGTTATGATGTTTATCAGGGTATTTTGAAGTGGCTGAGCTGACATGTTCGATTGGGAATCTCCTTGATAAAACTATCTCTTAAAAATAATCTTTCTTCTTCTTCTTCTTCTTCTTCTTTTGATTAATTATTTTTGTTTATGGTCCTGGCATGTTCCTTTCCACTTTCATTTCTGCATTAGTCATTTCTAACCGTAAATTCATATTGAAAGGTTGTCCTCCGCAAGAGCAGAAGCTACGCCACTCTCATGGATGGATTTCTTTGACCGGGAACTGTTCCTGGAAGAAGACGTTGACGGTTTACATGTATCTCACCACGCCTACATCAGCATACCGTCAGGCCACGGGCCTTTGTTCGTCACTCACCACGGGGCGGGATCTTCAGGTCTTTCCTTTGCTGCATGCACTGCAGAAATTAAAAAGATTCTTCCCTCTGCCGGTGTCCTATCCTTGGATGCGCTAAACCATGGAAGAACTACTGTTACGAGGTCCCACGGTGCTGAGGGCGATCAGCAGATCGAATTAGATCTAAAACTAGACGCTTTATCCCGCAACCTTCTTTTTGTCGTGGAACAAACTCGAATACAGATGAACTGGGAATCTCTCCCAGATCTTGTTCTAGTTGGCCACAGCTTGGGCGGCGCCGTCGTCACCGATGCTGCCAAAAAGGGTAAACTTGGATCGAAACTGTTGGCATATGCTGTCTTGGATGTTGTTGAAGGTAGGAAACATTCTCCACGTTCCGATTTCAATGCAATCGGGATTTGCTGACGGGTTCAGGCTCTGCGATGGACGCGCTTCAAAGTATGGAAACTTATCTCTCCACCCGCCCATCTGGCTTTCCGTCATTAGCTTCCGGGATTGATTGGCAGTACGTGCATTCTTTTTCCCATCCCATCCCCCCCCGCCCCGTATATTTTTGAATATCTCCGATATATCTAATTAAAACGCAACTAGCATCCGTTCGCGAACTATCCGCAATGCCCTGTCTGCACGTGTGTCAGTGCCATCTCTCCTCCGCGAAGATCCTGCAGACCCCTCCCGACCATGGAAGTGGCGTACAGATCTAGCGGCCACGAAGCCGTTTTGGGAGAGCTGGTTCATTGGACTTAGCAAGAAGTTCTTAGAAGCTCGTGGAGGGAAACTACTATTACTTGCTGGAACAGACAACCTTGATACGGAGCTTATAATTGGGCAGATGCAGGGTATTATGCTCTTTTTCCCCCTTTTCTTGTTTTCTTGAAACTTCATTCCCAAGCATCACTTCTTTGAAGACCTCTGTACATGAATTACATGCTAAAACTCCTCTCTAATCTAATGAACAAAAACAATAGGCAAGTACCAGCTTCAAGTGTTCCCAGAGGCAGGACATTTTATACAGGAGGACCAGCCCGCGAAAACAGCGCAGATTCTTGTTGACTTCTACAAACGAAACGATAGAAGCGCGCTCGTTCTGCCACCTAAAGTGGGCAACATTGGGGCTGCAGGAGCTATGGCGAAAGGAGCTGGAAGTGGGAGTGGCAGAAATGATAGCTTTCCACCACACACGTGGAAAAAGAGGGGTTTTTGACTTGGTGCGCGCATGGACGTCTTTTAACTTCATATTATCTGTTATGATAAGGCTTGCACGGTTTCATCAAAACAATTGCGCTTTCGATATAAGATTAGAAGGAATGTGTTGTGGCTACTTTTTGTATGCTTTTACTGCGCGCTATGGAGCTTTGAAGGGAGCTCTGAATAAACTGTAAAAAATTGAAATCCAGGAAAGAGCAAATCATAGATCAAGCAGCTTTGAAATAATTATACATACGCTTTGCCAACAACCAGAGTAAAACCAACATTGTCATATATGTGACCAATCGTTTAAAGAGAAAACAGCAAGAGATCATTCCAGGAAATGAGAATATCGACAGGAAAGAAAACAACAAGCTAATCCCAGCACCCAAATCGCCATCCGATTTCGCCTCCCAGATGATAAATCCCGCCATGCCCTGTCTCAAATCGCCTGAACGCCAGGAAACAAAATAACAAAAACAAACACAAAAGTGAAAAACAAGTGTAGGAAGGTGAGTGTAGCCAGTGGCTTAAGTGCATATCTTGGGATCTTGAGAGAGAGAGAAACGCCGTCGTTGAGCTGTAATATGTGCGAAACCAGGAGCAGAATATATATCATTCACACACAGGTATTGACCCTCAAAACGTTCACGCGAGCCATTCTTACCTGTATCGAGGCCCCCCAAACATTCACGGCATATACGCGCCACCAGCAACAACCAGATTCATCCCCGTAAAACGAGTCTTGTACACAGGACTCTTCTTGGTAGGGAAAGCGCTGATCTGATCAGGCGTGACAACAACCTCCTTACTCTTACCCTTCTTCCCCTTTTTCTTATTAGCACTCTTAGACGCTGAAACGCCAGTAGCAGTAGCAGTAGCCTGAGCGCCTGATGCCGCGGTAGCGTTTCCAGCATCGATCTTGGTCCCTGCACCTCCTTCGCCAATCACACGTCCCTGGCTGGCTAGATCCTGGGCGGGAACTGCGACGTCCCAAACGCGAACGGTGCCATCAGCACCACCAGAGACGAGGACGGTGGACTCAGCACTCCAGGTAAGCGACCAGATGCCACCTTTCCCATGACCGCGCATACGCTTCAGACGTTTTCCGGCAGCAAGATCCCAGAGGAAGATGGATCCCTGATCATCTGCTGATGCGAGGAGTTTGCCGCTATTGCTGCATGCGAGGGCGGTAACATTTCCGGTGTGTCCAGTGAACATACGAACTGCATTTCCAGTAGTAACAGCCCACATACGCACGGTATGGTCGGAGCTAGCGGTGAAAATGTACGCAGAATTCGGGTGGAAGGCCACACAGTCGACATCGTCGTCATGGCCTGCGAAGATTCGCTGCTGGCGGACTCTATCTGTCACCCACAGACGGGCGGTTTTGTCGTGACCGCCTGAGACGAAGTAATGCCCATAAGGACCCCAAGCAATGTCCCAAACTGGAGATGCATGGCCTTTGTAGATCACCATACATTGCCAAAGGTCAAGAGACCAGAGACGGATGGTCTTATCAGCAGACGACGAGAGAAGCCAGCGGGTATTAGTCTTGACCTCCTGCTCATCCGGACTGGCGATAGATGGAGCAAAGGCGACTGCATAAACTGGCCCAGAGTGACCAAAGAGGCGGTGAGAGTTTGCTGGGGGGACAGCCCCTTCATCCTTTTCCAGTTCCGGGTATGTTGGTGGAATTGGCAAGCCATCAAGACTCCAAACGCGAATATAAGACTCAGCCATTCCGGCAGCGACGAGCATACTATCCCCAGAGAAATCCAAGCAGTTGATGCTAAAGGAGTAGTTAGAATACATTCATTTGAAGCTAGTCAAATGTAATGAAATATATTCAACGTACCCATCATGCGTATTGTGGAAGGTGAACATGCAAACGCTAATTGCAGGCCCCACACCTCCAGTTCGGCCATCAATCTTAAACCTATCGCGGTTCTCCTTGACCCTTTGCACCTCCATGGCAACGTCACGGGCGAGGGATGGCGGATAGGGGATTTCAGCGCGTGTCGGAGCTTCTTCGTCCTCCTCCCTCTTAATCATCTGTTCAAAGTGCTGGACAAGAGAAGGGCGACCACCTGTAGGCGGATCCTTGACGTCTGCTTCCTCAAGTTCGGCACGAACATCTCCTTCGAGAGTTGGTTCCAGTGGAAGCTTTCCAAGCTTGAGTCTAGGGAGGGTCCCAGCCATCGCAGGGTTATCACCAGTGTATGCAGATCCTGGATGGTGGCCTGGTATTCCCTCATCCTCCGCTGGGATTCCTGAAATATCATTCGCACGGTTTAGCATCGCAGCAAAGCTAAAACGATCATCTGCGGCACGCTCTTTCGTAACTATTGTGCAGTAGCTGCTTAGGATCGCCAGCATCACCATTCCTCCCTCCTTTTGCTTGCTTTCCAGAAACTGGACGAGGTTGGAAAAAGCCGGAGTGCTTAAGGTGAGACGATACTTGTTGTTACGGTAGATTTTCGCAACGCTATTCTCCTGCACATGTTCGGGAAGGCTCACTGGTTCTAGAGCACGAATATCTTCTGTATGCTCAGGGAGGAACAAGTTCTTATTTGCCTCGAAAAACTGGCGGCCCTCCAGAGGGACCAAGGATGAGATGAAACTCAGATACGAGTAGACAAACAGGGGCCACAGAACGCGTCTCAGTTCCGGCTGTATAGCACGTTAGAAAAACGAAACCAACCTAAATCTGTGGGAAATAGTACCCTGTATATGTCCAGATTGTCTTCGATCCATTTTCTCGTCATTTCTACAATAGCCAAAAAGTAAGCTACGTCGCGGGCGGTCTTTGGGAAAGTACCCACCAAACGCCAACTTGAATTTTGGGCGGGCCTCTTCGCTCGCAGGTGGAAGAGGGCGACCGTCAATCTCCTGATTAGCAGACTCCATCCTGAGCATTGCCTCAGTCCTTGTATATCCCTTCTTTGCCAGATAGTCGATGACCTAAAACACAGAGCAAAATAATCAGTCACTGCCCAAGGCGGGAAATAGCAGCAACCATCAGAGGAAAATAGCACGTGCGTTGGTTAAGTAACAAAACATAATAACGCGTCAAAATAGACAATAATATCGTAAACGGAAACTGAGACAGGAATTATGAGCCATAGTCTCATCTAGCACGTACACGCTGTGTAAGGCTTAGATATTCTTGAGCAGTAGGATCCTCAGCTTGGCTGAGTCCAGGTTCTTGGGACGCCATGACTTATCCTTGCGGTATAGTCTAAAACCGATCACGTTTCTTGGAGGAAAGGGGAAAAAATGAGAACAGTAGAAAGAAAGCATGCGTAGATAGTTGAGAAGTGGAACTAGAGGTAGAAGAAGTAAAAAAAAGCTGTCAAAATTTCCTAGTCCAAAATAGAGAGGGAGAGAGGGGGGAGAGACATCACTTGAAGCAGACAGTAGAAGTGAGATACTTTGGAGTGAATATTCCAGCTGAACAGAGAGATGGTTAAAGATAATGAAAGGGAAGAGTTCAGAGGATGTAAGATCACACATTCTGTGAGGATGGATATGGTTCATCCCATTTATACCATGATCATGTCTTGAGGAGTGCGGTTGATGCCATGCAGCTTCATGAGCATAATGTATGCTAGGAATCGCCGAGTGCACAATGTATGCCAGACAAAAGTCCACTCAAAATGGAGAGGCAGTAAGTGTTTATTGCAAACCAAGACACCCCCATTAACAAAGAAGGCAATAAAAGAAGATTTTGGATATGAACATTAAGAAGTAAACTGAAACATGCAACTGCAAATTTGCAAACGGCTGTATTTTTATCCCACAAACCCCTGTCTAATCAAGGGTTCAAGAGAAGGGGCAACAGAGCAGATAGAACATAGCATTGGAGCATTCCCTTGGAGTATTCCTAGCTAATCAAGGAGGCGGGGTTAAAACAGGGGATTCAACCTACAATTTGGTTTAGATTCTGTTGCGACATGACCCCAGATGGGGGCCCAGATGTCGCAGGACTCGCTGCAGACGCAGGGGCCGTATTGTTCTGGGACATTTGAGCCCCGCCGCCAGGTCCTGTACTCGCACTTCGCGGGCCCGGGCTGGGTGCCCCGGGAGGCGCAGACATTGTAGCTGGATCTCTGCTGCTGTGGCAGATGATATCAGGGCGTGTTGAGTGATAAGAGAAAGACAATTTCCAAAAGGATATAGAAAGTTGAAAGGAGTGACAGTGTGTGTGTGTGTGTGTGTTGTGTGTGTGTTGTGTGTGTGTGTGCGCGGATGAGAAAGATGTGTTGAGATGATTTTGAAGAACAAGATGTCACATACTGGCTATCCCCAATCAGGCTAGATCCAGCGCTGGAGTGTTGGTGAGCTGGCCAATCAGCGTTCAGCCTCCCCAGATGGGCACGGAAATATCACGTGACATTCGACTTCAATCGTTCTGGCAGGAAGAAGTTTGTTGTAAATCACTGCGATAAAGATACAGTTAAATGTGTAACTCTTAACGTCTAGCAACAGTCTCTTGATCTTTGAGTAGACGGACCAAATGGATTCCCAAGATCCTAGCCAAGTTTTTACCCCCGCTGATCGAATCCGCCAGTTGAATGAGATTGACAAAGTTAGTGTTTTTCATCTCAAAGCTACAGATGTTTTCATGCACATGGACAGAGAAGACCTAACGCAGTTCACAGGACGTAACAAAGCTCCTCAATGCTGCAGGCGTTGCGATAAGCTCGCTGAGCAATTCTTCCTCCGCCACTGCAGGACAACCGTCGAGTGAACTCCCCCCCGTTGACGGGACGCTGGAATCACATCAAGCAGCTTTCAAAGCCGCGAGCTCCCAATACTTCGCCCTGCTCTCGTCCATTGATGTACGATTACGTCGCCAAGTATATGCTCTGGAAGAGGCGTCAATCATCAGACCTGATTCAGCTGAGATGGCAGGCGGTGGCGGTGGGGGAACTACCTTTACAGTTTCTACTTCGGGAGGAATTAACCCGCTTGACACTAGCTGGCTGAATAGTCGAAAGGATACGGTTGGGAAGGATAAGGAGGCAGAGCTATGGGCGGAAGCCAGCAGGTTTGCGACACAGCTGGAGAAGGGCAAGGGGGGATACAGGAATGAATCTGGAGGGGGGGATGGGGATGGTTCTTCGGAGGAAATGGAAACCATGGATGTGGATTGAGTGGTTGATCCCGGCCATACACTTGGGGCATGCCGAACAGTTTCGCCCGCAATGCCATGACAATGCAGCTGAGACCTGTCGATAAAGGGGCATTTCTATTGATAAAACGGATACTGTAGAGCGGCATTATGTGGTTGAGGGAGGACCCGCGCTGAGTGTATAAGCATCTCACCGGCCATTTGCCCCCTTGTCCAATCGATTGCGATGAGCTCCACAACTAAAGATCACCTTTCAAAGGGAGTCATCTCCAGTCAAACCAGTTACGGTCGATAATCTCAGACCGCCCTTTGCATTCCGCCGGAATGTTATTTGTTACGTGGTCGTCATTTTAGGGATTGGAAATACCGCACGGCAGACTTGTCACGTGCCCGCCCCCCCCTCCTCCCCCGGCTTAGGTGCACGGATGGGATCTAGGGAAAGGCTGAATTTTATTCCAAAGCCAGAAACCATATCATATCTTTCAATGGTGCCTATTCGACCATGTGGATGATGATTGTGAGACAAAGTCATTCTATCCGGCCGGAATCTTGATATACTTATTTGAGTTCAGTTATTACTACGCTCTGTTTGTCAAAGGATTTGGGTCATACCCGATGGGCATGTTTTCTACTCTACAGACTTGAGGAACCATTTTTGAATTCTTACAACTTCCCTAGTGTCCCATTTTCTTGAAATTTAAAACATTAAGACGTGCTTAAAAGCAACGGAGAACAAATGCGTTCGTCAATTAGAACTTGTCATAATGTCTTGTCATTTGTTGATTGGGAAATAAATAGAAGGGCTGAAAACGAAAGAAGAAAAAAATCCAATGGGACGTGAAAGGGGGAACGGAGGGGCAAAAAGAGGATAAATTCGCTTTATCACCAACAAAACAGTGATTGGGTTGATGTTTCTATTAAACAGAAAAAGAAATGCAACGGGCGATAATGCTACCACTTCATCGAATTAATGACCTCCCGATGATTGGCCTGGTCTCTATTTGTCTCTGACAAGGGTTGGATGCCTTTAGGGAAATTAGCAGCGAGAAAAATTATCGATGGATGTAGAGGATGACGGAAGATTCATGCAAAGATGAACACGAAGGGAATTGCCGCAGCACTCACTTCTCAGATCAGAAACAATGTCCTTCGCTTTCCCAAAGTAGACTTCCTCTGTAAATAATTTATCAGAATAAAATCCTCGACACGGAATTATGAAACCCCCAATCAACTATGGGAATAACCTACGTAGCAGATTCCGCATCTTCAACTCCATATCCTCAACCAACCGTCCAACATTCGCGACATGGCTCGCGTCCCCGTCAACTGCCATGTCGGCCTCAATCTGTCTCGTTATGTTGCCGCTCAGGTCCATCTCTCCAAGCGCCTCGGAGCCGGTTGATAGGTGTAAGATGACGGTGCTGGTTAGTTTGTAGTGACACGTCCGCGCCCGGTCTGTGGCTTCGAAAACGTGGATGCTGTCCCAGGCACCAGAGTTTTTGGAGCCGGGTGTGATTACTAGATGGGATTTTTGTTAGCCTTCTATCTCGAGATTGGGGTTAAAGTGCAGATGAGTGGGTATGTAGGAGCCCGGATTCCCGGATTGATCCCCCTCCCTGACATCTAGGCTAAGAAATGGAATTGGCCAGAATCCAAGTGTCGATATCTCCCATAGTCCCAGAGCGCTTCTTTAAAAAAGGGATATATATATATCCGTACCTTTCTTCAACAGAACAACCCCAGCAAACCCATCATCCAAATCCCAGAAATACACACTTCCAACCCCGCCTTCATAATACAGCTCCCGATATACATCAAACGCCTCGTTGGCAGCTATCTCCAACTTCCGCACCCGCTCACTGGGCACAGTCCCATCTTCAATCGGCGGGTCGAACTCGTTACTCCACGGGCTACGGTAGCTGTCTCCGTCCCGGTTATAGTCGCAGAGCAGATAGTCGCGCTTGGTTTGGGCGCAACGACGGATTTCGAGAGGTTGGTCGACGGAGGCGAGGAGATCTTCCGTCAGGTCGGGGACGAGGGTGGTTATGTATTGCAGGTTCTGTCTGGTGTCGCGCGGTGAGAGGCGGCGGAGGAGGTCGCTGCGTGATAGATGGGGTCAGAGGTTAGTTTTGTGCAGCTTGGGTGGGTTTGTGCAGTGGTAGATGTCTAGGTGGGGTTGTGAGGATTGCGGGGAACTGTAGCTACGGGGGTTGGGAATAGGATGGATGATAAGTTCAGGAAGAAGGTATACTTGTGGGATTAGAGGTTCAATGCTTACAGGGCGCTGTCAAATTGTGTATCTGCCATGATTGTAGACGAAGACAGAGTAGGGCTAGTGACAGATACGAAGGGGAGAGAGTTCTCTGTTTATATAATTATCCCGACAGTTGGTGGTTCGGGTGTAACTTGACTCCCAAGTTAAACGTAGTGCGTGGGGCAAGGGAAAAAAGGACGTGGCGACAGTGTGGATTGTTCCAAGCAAAAGCGTGTCTATTCTCCCTAACTTAAATGCAACTGTTATGGGTATCTACATGCAATATACTCATTTTACGCCACTATCAAAATAGTATCGAAAATCAAAACTCTCGCTGGATAAAACCTATTGGATATTCCGGGGTTGATGGTGATGTAGTTGCATATCCATCTCTCACCCGAGGGAATTGAACTCAACCAGACCTCGACCAAGACAAGGCCGATTAAATCCTAAATGTCAAAATCATCACTATCATCACTAAGTATATACTTTTTCTTTCTTATTTCCCGTGCTGGACTTAGCCGGTCCGACTTCCGCTTTCCAACAAACTGCCTAAAGAGGGTATCCACATCAGGGATCTCGGGATCATCCCCTGCGCTACCTTGAGAGTTGAAAAACGTGTTATGCGGTGGACGCTGCTGGGAATATGGAGAGCCAAAGAGCGGAGAAAAGGGCTGGGATTGATCGACAAACTCTTCCTGCTGTTGTTCCAAGTCGGGTGGATCGGGATGTGTTCCACCAGCACTTGAGTTAGCGCCCTGTCCTCTTCTTTCAGAGGGAGTGGAAGAGGGTGTTGTTCGAAGTCGCGCAGGCAATAAGTCGGCGGGGTGTAGATGATCTCGAAAGCGGCCTTCGCAGTCTACTGTTAAAGAATTCATAATTCGAAACGCTTTAACAAGTCGACGTGTGACGTTCCCGTGCTTCACGAATTTCGTGGGGCGGTAGGACCTTTGCAAGTCTGGGAATACATCAATACGCGGTCGACGGATAAACTGGGGAGTCGTGCCTCCAATGTTGCGATATCTATGTTCAAGTTCCCTCTGCTCTTCGGAGGAGAGAAGAACCTCATTCAAGGAGGGTACATCAATCGTCTCAACGACTTTGGGTGGAAGGGTACGGGAGGCTCGGTCATTTCCCCCAATTTTACCGTTAAGACGAGACGCCTTGGTGAAGCCAGACAAAACACCATCAGGCATGTGGAATTTTTTGGGTGGTCTTTTCGGAACGCGTGGACGCTTTGATGGTTCGGGTAAATCAGTCGTGGAATTTTCCACTGGGATATCTATTCGTTTTTCCACCACTGAAGGTTGTATATCGCGGGGAAGTATTCGTGGCGACTTGTCGTAGTGGAACATAAAACGAGTTCCGCTAGCAATCATCTGCTGCATCTTTTGGTAATTATCCTTCGCTTTGATGTAAGAATCTTCTTCTTTGCCTTTCATAAGAAGAAGGACAATATTTCCTCTTCTTTTCCTCCCAGTTCGGCCCATCCTTTGTAACATCCTAATAGGCGAGGCAGACGAATCGTAGCACACTATCAAATCAATTTCACCGATATCAAGACCTTCTTCGCCAATCGAAGTAGCAACAATGGTGTTATATGTTCCTTTTTTAAACTTCTCGATGATATCGAGCTGAGTCTTCTGGTCCATCCCCTCCGATCCCTTAGCGGCAGCTTGCCCAACAAAAACATGCGGACGTATCATTGGCTCGTGCCTTTTCAGCACTCTAACGATCTCCTCTGCACTGTCACGAAAATGCGCAAACACCATTATGCGGGTGTCTGAAGGATTTTCACCTGTAGCACCAGCAGCCCCATCTCCTGCATCCATGAAGTGGTTTAATACTACCTGCTTGAGGTACTCCAACTTTGGATGTCCAATGAAGTCTGCGTTGTTTGTCCACGCTCGCATTCTGGCCATCAGAATCTTGAAATTATCACAGTCTGCGACTTGGCGGCGGTATTTAGCACCACCTGCTTCGCTCGAGGAGCTCTGGAATGAAATGAGGTTGCGATAGAACGGCCCTATACCATGATATTTCAGAAGATCTATTGCATGAGCTAGACTGGCGAGCACCGTGAATATAGCATTTATCATGAACTTGACTCCAGCGTTGGCACTTCTACCTGATGGGGATCTCATCCACTCTTGTCTTGCAACCGTAAGGCCGTACGGCGTAAGAGCCATGGGGTCCCTCCCCCAGTAAGCTTGCTGAGTTCGAAGTTTATCCAAGACGGGCTGCAAGGCCTTGGAAAAAAGGTCCATACACATAGCCATTTCATCAGAATTCTGAAAAGTCTCTATTTCCACACATCGTGCATGAACATACTCGCGAATGTCAAGTGACTCTTCCGTCCGTATTTCAACTTTAGCAATGTTAAGGCCATCAATGACCTCTTGTACAGATTCTACCGTTGACCCAGGAGTTGCTGTTAGCGCAAGTACGCGGAAGCTGTTATTGAACCGTTGGATAAATTTCACCACTTCCACATACGCATAGCTTCCAGTGGCACGATGAGCCTCGTCAACTACCAGCAGAACAATCCGTTTTGGATCAGCATGTCCGCTTTTGAGATCATTGATGAGGGTCTGAGGTGTCATAAAGAAAACCCTTTTGCTCTGCCATTCCTCGACCCGGATTGCTGGTGCTGTACCACCAGTAAGCATAACAGTTTGAGACCGGGGTATTCCCGCAATACCGAAACATGCAGCAACCTGCTGAGATACCAATGGTTTTGTTGGAGCGACAAAAACTATTTGGGCATTTTTGGTCCATCGAAACCAATTCAGCATAACAGTAGCAGCAATAAAAGTTTTCCCGAGCCCAGTGGGGAGGGCCACGAGTAGATTGTGAAACAGAGCTCGTTGGGTAATATTAAACTGGTATTCTCTTCTCTTGCCCAAGTTTGACGGATATATCCAAGACCTTATGGTAGTCAAATCTAATTGGTGATGTGTTGGAAGTTCGTTGTGGTTCGCCAGGGGTAAGCTACGGGACCCAGTTCGTGATAATTCCAAAGGTCTGTTGGTCTGAGCTGGGGAACCAAACAATGTCATCTGCCGTAAATTCTTTTGTTGAGAACTCCCTTGTTGCTGGAATGAAGATTCAGCGGAGGAGGGTTGATGATGTGATGAGCCCACTCTAGGCCTCTCCTTTGGAGAGTTAGGTGAAGAACCAATAGAAGAGTCAAAAGCGTCATCAGGGACATCTGCCAGATCAAAAGGGAGACCTTGAGCTCCAAAGTTAGAAGGAGCTGTGGTTGGGGGATTTCCAGCATTGGGGTTAAGCGGAAGTTCCACAACTCCTGAATTTTCGCCGTTAAATGATTCCAGAGATGCTGCAATGGCTGCTTTCAGATCATCTTCTACATCATCATCCATCCCCCCAATACTCGACTGATTTTCATAGACAACAGGTGGCGGGGCGGGCATTGCAGCACGCACCTCCTGATCGGGCTTTTTCCATCGAGGGCCACGAAGTGCCGATGGGCTGGAGCGAGGTTGGGTAAGTTGAGTTACAAATGTCGCCTCCTGAGGCCTTGGGTGTTTCGGTTGATATATTTTGTACTTTGGAGCAGCTGCTTTGGCAATTGCTTTGTCCTTGTATCTGACCTCCGGTTCTCTGCGACGCGATGGCAAGGACTGCAGGTCAGAATCTGACTGACGGGCACTCTCCTCGTCCTCGGAGGAATGCACGTCCCGTTCGTGCCCCAACTGGGCATCACTTATTATGCGTCTCCGTTTGGGAGGTCGAGGGCTCTCGGAGCTGGCGGGCGTGGGATCAGCGTATGGGGCTCTGTCGTCGGCAACAGCGAGCAGGGCATCGTCACCGATGTCACTGAACCCGCTGCCAAGGGAGGTGGACATTGTTGTTTTGGTTGGCAAGGAGAAAGAAAACGCAAGCCTCAGCAGCCAGCCATATAAATCATCCTTATTGCACCCCTAGCAGCGAGGCTCCGAGCATCTACTCCGTAACCAACGTTCTCCTCCGCAGTTGAACGGTTCCATGTCGAGTTGTTGTGAAGAGCAGCGGTTGTTGTCTTCCAGGTGTTTTAGTTCGTTCTTCGAGGCTTGATGCCGGCGCGTCGTCCATGGCTGTTGCTGATGTAACCACGGGTCCGCCGGGCCGTGGCACTCAATGTTCTGAGCTCAACGTCACAGGTCGTCATGGATTGATTATTGTTAATCAGCACGTTCAAAGATCCGAATAAACTAAACTATTCCATGTTCCCATTCCTCGGTTACGTTCCAACCGGGGACAGTCCGCTGGTTGGCTCACGCTCGTGCTACGGGGCAAAGGAACGCTGATGAATCATGTTAAACCGGGTTGGATGATAGGAATTCCAGCGACCCGTGGACAGCGGCTCTCATCCTGAGTTTGGTTCCCGGTGCTGAAATCCTCAAATTTTACTCAGATGCATCGCAGCGGGAGCCCAACCACACCCGTTGAATTTTGCTTCATGGCCTCTAATTGATACGTGTACGTCCTGGTACTTATCTACCGCGGCAGGATGGAGTCCTTGAGTCAGGTTAGCTGGTTCTCGTTGCTCGTTGGGATCCTTTTTTCAGGCAGAGAAGCCAACGGCACCAACCGTCAGGGTTAGTTTGAGACAGCTTTTGGCTCTCGAACAGTACGCATGGATCCACTCTACCAAACCCTGTGGCAAAACCATCCGAAAATATGGTGACCAACCGCAGCTGGTTGTGGAGTCGAATCCGAAAAGCAAGGAAAAGTGCATGACAAAAATTACAACCTACGCAGACCAGGAATCATCACACTTAATCGCGTACAGGAGTGGGCAGAACCCCCAGTTTCCAAATGCTTCTGCTAGAGAGAGAGCTATGGAAAACACCCAAAAAATATAAAATAAAATAAAAAAGGGGGCAAAATCTGGTGTTATCGCAGTGGCCCCTGACAAGCTCGACCGGTGTCACTAATTATTCACTGTGAACACACGAGGGGCGTTGCTAAAATAGATGGCCGGCATATGACCCCTCCGCTCGGTTTACACAACCAATGATTTATGTACGCCACCGAAGAACCCCCATTGGCCCTTCAAGAGAGCACGACGAGCAGGTTTAAGGGGTTTGGGCATGGAGGAATGGTTCCAGTAGTTTACCCCAGAGAAGCCCCGATCGTGCGGTGCGACCCCCAAAGCGCCTGGCATAAAGTTACGCGCTGTCTCTCAGATCCCTCTCCTATTCCCTCATATAAAACAGGTCCTTTCGTTTGGTTTCAAAACGTGGATTTTCTTTCTTCTACCCCCCAAAAAAGAAAACAGTCACTCGTTTCCTATAAATCCTTTTTCTCGTCTTCCTGCCTATTCCCATCCGTTTCAATACAACGAGCATAACTATTTTAATTCTTTACTACTATCTTTTCAAGCCTTCTTTCACCCCGAATACCGCCAATATGAAGTTTTTTACGCTTATGGCCCTTGCTGGCCTCTTTGCCTCTGCCGCCGCTCTGCCTCAGGAAGCCCCTGTTACTTCTACAACTTCTCTCTCTCCAAATGTTATGTGCGCTAGCGCCTGTATGGCAACCTGACGATTGCGCTTGATACATCTCTTGCATATCTCGAGATCTTGCTGACTTTCCGAACAGGCCCCACGGGTAATATCTGCTGTCAGGCGATGTGCCTTGGTGTTCCCTGCCCCAACCAAATTATGGCAAACATGACCAACAACTGCGCAATGAGCTGCATACAAGGCAGCGGATCCCCAGATGATATCAGAAGCTACGCGATGTGCCAGAGCAGTTGCATCAACAACTTCTTCTTGGGCTCCAGCACTACCCCAACTCCATCCAGCACTGGAGGCGCTTCCACTACTAGTAAGGCAGCTCTTTATTATCCCTTTAACTCAAGTGATCCGGGATACCCTCCATTGCTATCCCAGTCTTGTTACAGGAACAATTTTACAGATAGATGCTAACGATGGGTGTTGACGAAGCGTCAGCTGCCAACGGTACCTCGACCGGCAACTTTTCAACAACCCCATCCGCTGGTGCTGGTATAATTGACGTCCAACTCGGATCCTTTGCCGCTGGCATTATCGGTCTCCTGATGGCTGTTGTTGTTCTCTAAACGCGACACTTTAACCTGAACCTACAACCAGTGCCTCCAACCCTACAATCGCCGTGTTGTAAAAAAAAAAGAAAAAACCCCGCTGGCCTTAAACTGCCTGGTAGCTTGGCGGTTGGCTTAATGGTGTATGAGTGGAAACTCCCACACTTGCGAAAAGTGAGGGAATGCACTACACAATCTCTTGTCTGTTTATTAATTTACCAGTTTGGAAATTTAATTACTCAGTCTTGTGTGTTCAGGCGGGATGATAATTTTGATTCGGCTTGCTTCTTTCGTTTTTGTTTTATTTAGTTATTTATTTTATTTTATTTATTTATTTATTTATTTATTTATTTTTTGGCTTTGTTGGCGGAAGTTAACCCTGTCTGATAAATGTCATGACTGTTTCGCGTGACAGTTTTGAAATTTGATATCCCTTATTCTGTTATTTCTGCTCCAAATGGTTATGCAAAATCTTCCTCGACACTGAACGATGCTTTTCATTTCTTTTATAAAATGGCATAGAGTGCTTTAAAACAGTTAAATGCTAACTTGCACCCGTAGATTATTAAGATGAATACTTTAAATCAAACTTGGAGAAGCTATCGGAGGTACAATCCCTCAATGCTTCTCCTGCTGGTGTCAGAAATTCGAATGTCTACAGGATTTCGTGACAAGCGCCCAATTGACGATGATGGGCGTCTGGGGTTGACATCATATCCCGCTCCCGTTTCAACTTCAAGAGTTAACAAGACGTCTATGATGATTATCATTCCTATTATTCTTCATTTTTACTTGACGATATGCAGTCAGAAATTATTATCGCCAGCCTTGTCTGCCAAAATACCTGCTCACGTAAATAATATATCATATCCATGAAAAGAGAGCCCATTCTGGACTCTCATTTTCAAGGTTGCTTTGTCAATCAATATCGACCATACCAATACGATTGGTTCGTCCTAGGAGCAGATAGTTATAATGGCATTTTAATCATTTAATATGAGAACCGCACCCTACGCTGCTCTATGTCCAGGCCGGTAGCGGAATCACTCTGCTAAAATAGTCTGTCATTGTCTACACCCGGTAACCTGCCTCAAGCACGATTTAAATAACTAATTGAATCCCAAAAAGTTATGAACGAATACAGCGACAAAATACCAACAATCCCATACCCTCAATCCCATTCTCTCCACACGCCTTGACGGTTCCACAAAATCAATAAACCAGATAATGTGCTCCTCATCCAAGCACAAACATGTGAGTGCCACCACCACGACCATGGCCACAACCACAACCACCGCAACAGAGACCGCCGATCCCGCAACTCTCATTAGCCGCATGACCGCCTACATGGCCCAATGCATGCGCAACCACGACCCGTCCCACAATCCACGCCACGTCCACCGCGTCGTGCACCTGGCACACCAGCTCCTCGCCTCCGAGCGTGCCAGGAACCCATCGTCTACAATTTCCATGGATGACACTGCCATAACGCTGGCGGCCCTCCTCCATGACGTTGAGGATAGGAAGTATCTTCCCTCTCCGTCTCACTCGGGCAGCGGCAGTAGCAGCGGCAGCAGCAGCAATGATGTCGTCTACCATGCCCTGCTATCCAATGGCGCTAATCCGGTTTTAGCAGCCAGAGTAAAAAAAATCATCTCGCACGTGTCCTTCTCTGCTGAAGTGAAGGATCCAGATCTAATCCGCCGCCTCATTGATAAAGAAGGGTATCCGGAGCTAGCTATCGTGCAAGACGCGGACAGGCTAGATGCTCTTGGTGCGGTGGGGATTGCGAGATGTTTTACCTATTTGGGGGCTAAGGGGGGTGGAAGGGCTGGTGGCGGGGAAGGGGAAGGGGGGAGCTGCTGGGAGTTGGATCATGCGATTGAGCATTTTGGAGAAAAGTTGGAGAAACTGGAGGGGATGATGAAGACGAAGTCTGGCCGGGAGATGGCCAGGGTGAGGACGGAAAGGTTGAAGGTGTTTAGGGAATGGTGGGAGGAGGAGAATGGAGAGAGGTGAGGTATGGGTTGAGATGGCTATTGTGTTAACTGCGATGTTCTTCTGTCGGTTGAAGGGGGATTGTGGGTTTGAGGAACTCCCCGTTCTCCATTTCCCATGCATGCATGTGTCATCCTTCATGAGAGGGGGGTCGCATCTCACCTGGGCATTGGTTATGATGTCTCCGTAAAACTATTAAACATTGAACTTCCAATTCTAGCAAGAAGATACCCCCATCCATCCTCTCGTATGCGAGAAGTCCGTCGGATATCTATTACATGATTCGAACCCCCTTCGAAATATCCAGATCCATCATGAATCACCCTCGCAGAACTGTCGAGGTGCCATTTGCAGATAATAGTCATGGCCGATGTCTATCAATGTTCTACCAATATCTCTCAATGATGAGTTTACCGCTAGGGAAATGGATAAAAGGACAACATGAAAGCCCAGATTCGCTGGTGGTCACCCACCCAATTACCAACAGGCCAGCGAGCGGCTTGATTGAGTACGGCTGGGCGGATGGGAAGTGCTATATTATACTCTTTATGTTCATATGTGACAGACGGGGTTCACAAGGGGGAATATCAATAGCTTGTCTGCTTTATCATGTAGATCGTGTCGTGTCGTGTTGTGATGTTTGCGTTTCCCTTGCGAGAGTGACGGTTGGTAGGGACGGTTGCAGGTAGGACACTGGCTTTCCCGGATGACTGACTTCATGGAGGTGCAGATGACAGTTTTTTATATATATCTTCCCTCTTCTTATCCAGGAAAGTAAGGATGGTTATGGCTAATATGTGTTGGGTTGATTTGGATTGTCTAAGTTCCAAAGCATGTATGTGAGTGCCCTATTAAAACATTTGAAATGAAGTAGAGATGAGAAACAAAATAAAAATATCGGCGATTGACAAATGGAAAATGAAGATGCCAGCAATTCAATGCATAAAACTCAATAGCGGTAATCAAACAATAATAAACCCACTTCAGTCAGTTCCTCATGGATATATCTGATCATAAACAAATTAAGCAAACGGAGAGCACGAATCCAATAGATGAAAGCATAGACCCTATGATAGATCATAGAGTATAGAACATAGAACCTATGATAGATCATAGAGTATAGAACATAGAACATGTACATACAATCCGCCATGTACCAAAATCCCATCTCCCATATCATAAGCCCAAATACACCAACCATCTGAAAATTCAAAGAATCTGTCAGAGTTATGTGCAATCCCAAATACCAAAAACCACCACAGGAAAATAACTCAGGAATGCAAAAAAGGCGGATAGGAAATGAATAGTGAGAGTAAAAACCTATATTGCATCAAGCCCACCTCGCAATGTCAAGCAACAATGCATATATCAGAGGCCCACATCATGGATGTCTCCCAGACTGCAGGGGACAGTTTCTTGAGAAACGCCGTACTGTAGGTACCAGCATAAGAGAAAAATAAGGAAGAACAAAAGAACAAAAGAGCATGATCTGCCCAACACCACAATCAAAAATCTAACCTGCCCACATGCCAACGGAGAGAATATTTAAAAGAAAAGAAACAGCGCATCGGATAGAAAGGGGATATATGTATATATATGTATATATGCGCAATATAAGAGAAACCAAAGACAAATCTCGCAAGGGTAGCCCAATAAACAAACCGAAGAAGAAAACCCTTTGTAAAATTGGGAAACCACAAAATCAAAAAAAAAAAGAAAATATTAATAAATAAATAAATAATCATACCCGATCCCTCGCAAAATCCAACACATCACAATCATCCTCAAAGAACCCACCTTCCTCAGCCCTCCCACCACCAGCATCATCACCACCGGCGGTCCCCGACGAACCCATCCCCCCCCTCCTCTTCCTCCTCGCCGTAATAACAACATGCTCAACATCTCCCCCCTCATTCCCAAGACTGATCATACTCTCTATCTCCCCTCCGCCATCAGCACCACCGGCACTGCCATCCCGACCACCCCCCTCATCATCCCCTCCATCATGCATAGAAGCGCGCAGGTTAAGTTTTATGCCCGGTATCGTGTTCCCGAAGACCCACGGCTCCGCCTGTGGCTCTGACTGTTGGATGCTGGCATGCTCCTCGTGACCGGGCGGATAGACGAAGAGATTCACCCTCCGGTCCGTATGGAAGGGCTGGTACGGTGCGTTGGCTTCTATCTCGGCCTGAGAGAGCGGTTGGGATTTCAGCTTGCCGCTGCCCCGCCGCATGAGGGTCTGGGAGGGTAGGGTCCAGAAGCCGGAGACGTGAGGTTCTGCGGGCACGGACACGGGGGTAGGTACGGGAACTGGGATGGGGATGCTTGGCAGTGCGAGAGTCTGCGCCTGTGCCTGTGCCTGTGCCTGCTCGGGACCACTGTGTACCTGCACGTTGGCCGGCAGTCGGATCTCGGACACTTTACTCCCAATGACGGAGTGGCTCTGTTTATTCTTGCCATCCGCCAGACTCCGTCGGATTCTATACGCCTTGAAAGTCCCGCTCTCAATCACGGCTAATATCGGCTCGTCTTCGCTGCAGTTGTCAAGCCAGGTGACACGCGCCGGTACAGCATCTCTAGAGAAACCGGACAGGTGTAGACGGTTCTCGCCTACGTGCCGCAAGGTGTTAACGGTACCTGTTGCCGCGCCCATTGATTTACTTAGACCCGCGGCCACAACTTTACCACCGCCACGCACACCTGTGGCAGCTGTGAGTCCCAACCCGCCTGCGCCGCCTGAAAAAGCTGCCCCGACACTTGGGGCACGGCCTCGTACAGCAGCCAGAATGGGTTGAGTCGTGCCGCCCACAAGCTTCATGGCTGCAGAGAACGGGTTACTGGGAGCAGCTTCCTCATGATCATCGCCGGTAGAAGGATCCTTATGGTTCGTCTTGGACGGCACAACGCGGCGTGGAGGTGGCCATTGGAATGCAGAGCGTGGAAGGTCATAGACATGAACGGTGCCTTTCTTGGTGATAATTGCCAGATGCTCTCCAGTGGGAGCAGTCCAGATAACATCGACGATTCTTGAGGTGGTCAGTCGGGCATATCGCACGACTTGCCGGACGTGCAGGGCCGGAGGGTTGGAAGTGACTCCGCTTGAAGTGAGGTCATCTGATATAAATGCTCGCGATCTGCAGTGCTTTACCTGCATGAGATCCCAGATATGTTGTATATCGCCCTTTTTGCTGGAGGTTAGCAACATGAGACCACTGGGTGCGAACGAGAGAAAACTACATCCATTTGGCGGTTGGAATGTTGCAATTGGAAGAGGGAAGGATGATCTAACATCCTGGGATTCTTCTAATTTCTTCAAATCAATGATCGACACAAGGTCGGGTTCGCCTGCCAGCCCTGCCTGAGTGTCAGGGGCATGGGTTGGTGGGAGGATGTTGTGTCCCATCTGCGTGTCATACGGGTAAGGACGACGAGAGCTGGTAGCCTGCGTCGAGTGGCCGTCCTTATTCCAGTAGCTATTCCAAGTTTGGACACTCTGATCCCCAATCCACCGAGCGCCTTTGAATAGCTCCTGCGTGACACCTCTTGCTACTTTATTGAGCAGACTTTCTCCTTCTCCCGAGTCAACGCTGCAGGTCACAGAAGGGCGCGAGGGAGGTGTGTGGCTATCCAAACCATAAGTTTTCTTCTGGATCAGATGTGAAGGAATAGTTCCATGAAGAGAAACTCGGTGCGAGGCAGAAGGGGCAACGACAGCTAGCCATCGACCACTAAGAGATACAATTGGGGTTTCGGGGTTTGCAGATGGACCACTGGCATCTGACTGGTAATCGTCCACGTCAGTTGTTGAATTTGATGAGCTCGAATACCGGCGAGTATCCTTCCACTTCATACTAGTCCACGTTTTCCCAAGGCACTGGAAGGCACCTGGAGACGAATTGGGGGCTACACTGTAAATAAAAACCTCACCACTAGTCCCAGAGGCAATGACGAGGAAATTACCGCTGGCATGGATTTTTAGGTTCCCTACAGGCGACGAAGCAGACGCTGGCAAGCCAGGAAAGTAATCGAGATACGGCACCGGCTTCGTTGAATATAACGTCGTAATATGCTCCTGTGTCTTGAGAGAATATATTTGGACTCGAGTTTGCACGTGGGGATGCTCCCCACGCTTTGATTGTGTGGTTGAGACTGCCGGTACTATTTCAACATGATCTGAAGATGTTGACGAGGAAACACCGCCATCCTCAGGTGCGAGTGCAGGGCCGTGTATGGATATTGCCACCAGCGGCCGGCAAGATGCAAAAGGATCAATTTTGGATGCACAGGTCAAAATCTTCGCATCGAGCACTCTTCCAGTCAGACCATCCAGCTTCCCAACTACTTTAATCTTATCACCTTCCATGCCAAGAATTTCCAAACAGCCATCACGACCAACTAATACGACATTGCTGCCAACCTTGTTTGTTTTTGTTGAATGCGGATTTGCAATCGAATCGAAAGCACAGAAAGTGTAACCAGATTCCCCTAATGCCCGCATATTCGGGCTTGGGAAATGTGGTATCTCGATGTCAGGGGCGGCATAGAAGTGCGGTTGGGGCAGATGAGGCAGGGGAATCTGGTTCATTGGATGACTGCTCGAAGAGCACCGCTGATGTTTATCCCCAGATGGGTATCTTGATGGCGCGTAATTCGCATGTCCATTTCCATTTCCATTTCCGCTTCCATGCCTCAGGGGTCGGTATTTCCCCAGGGGTGGTGAGGCTGGTGAGGTGCTGTGGCTGAAACCTCCCTTGTCGCCAGGTGCGGCAAGATGGGGAGGTGATTCGCTAATACTCAGCCCATCAATAAGATCATTGGGGGGACTTTTCCCAAAGGGAATGGACTTGGCCCAAGAATCCGTTCGATGAGCAGTATCATGACCGTCATGGCCACCCAGTGAATTCAAAGCATCCAAGACGGGAGAAACGACATGATTTGGCTGCTGTTGCTCCGCTGGCTGGGATTGGCTGGGGATGTCGTCTGGCTCTGTAGGTGGAGATAAGAACATTCTGCAAAAGAGGGTCGATTAGATATATACGTGTATTATATTATATTCATGCAAGAGCTCTATACGAGTTGCAAAGGGAGAACCCGATGGAGGAAACACCAAAAATAAACAAATAATAATAATAATAATAATAATAATAATAATAATAATAATAATAATAATAATTAAAATTAAAATTAAAATTAAAAAATAAAATTAAAAAAACCAACACAAGGAGACAGGTTGATGTTGAACGTACATATCGTCTGGAAATTCCTTCGTTTCGGCTTTGGCAGCCCCATCCTCTCTCCCGACGGCATTCCCGACCTTTCGTTTAGCTTGACGGCTGAGGGGTGGTTCTGGCTGTGTGCCGAGCTGCTGGGACAGGGGTGACTTGGTCGCTGGGGGTTTGTGCCGGCGGGAGAGTGTAGATGCTGGGGGCATCCAAAAGGCGGTAGGGTTCTAGTGGAGGAAAGGCGGCCACCCCAAGGCCAGAAAATCTGCGGATAGGATCGAGGCAATATAAAGGTGTTGTGAGGAAGTAAGCAACGCGCCTGGTAATTTCTCGAAGAACGAGAAGATATTTGGAGGTGCAGAGCAAGGTATCGTAGGATAACCCGTCAAACGGTTGACCAGCCTGAGACGACGGATGGTAGCAGACGAGCACGGCTGATAATAATGGTAATGGATGGATATGCCAGATATCGCTGGAAATATAGCTTGTATGATAGCTTCAAGATTAGGAGAAGTGAGGTGGCGGTATCTATGCAGGCAGCTATAGGCAGCTATAGGCAGCTATAAGGTACGGAGGAGAAAAATAGGTATGTGTGGTCTGTAGAGCGGGGAGGGGGTGGGGGGGGGGGGGAATAAATAGGCGTAGACAGAAACAGCGGCTCCCGGCTGATAGCTGCTAGCTACCAAGGTACGGAGAAGACGATGGTGGTGGTTCAATAGGGCGAGGGCAAGCTGACGGTCGAAGCCACGGGGGAAGTCCAGTGGTAGAGAACAGCACAGAGGTGTTGCAAAGGTGTTGCAGGGGTGTTGCAGAGGTGTTGCAGAGGTTGATGCAGAGGTGTTGTTGAGGTGTAGTTGTAGTTGTTTGTTGTAGATAGCAGATAGGAGCAAGACAAGAGGGGCAACCAGAGTCTAACCAGCAGTTGGTTTGATGGTTCGTGAGCTAGCTAACTAACTAGTTAACTAGTTAACTAGTTGGTTACTGATGGTACCCACCAACGAACCAACTAGCTAACTCACTCTGATCAATCAATCACTCACTCACTCACTCACTCACTCACTCACTCACTCGCTCACCAACTACTTAATAGTTGCTACCTGAGGATGACACACCCATGGATAGGCTGGGGACGCGGCTCCCGCCATTCCGCGCCAGGTGACGGGATACAGCCCGTGATTGGCTGCCCAACCGGCGTTCCAACCGACCGCGGGCTCCATTGGAACAGCGCTTATGTAAGGAATTCCTTGGCATTGCAGTGCGTTTTAGAGGGGCGATGGTTGGTTCCATGGATCCCAGCCTTACCTCTGGGGGGGAGAGGGAAGAAAGGGTGGGAGAGGAGGCCCACCGATCAGGCACCACATGACTGGACACGTGCTTATGACGTAGGAGCCACAACAGCCGGGGCAGAAGGGGGGGCAGAGGGGGGCAGAAGGGTGTGAAGGGTGTGAAGATGGATGGTGAAAGGGGTAAGGAAGGTTCTACAACGCCTCGGGGAGAGAAAGGAGAAAGGCACATCCCCCCTGACTCCCTGACTGGCGTTGATGTCCTGTAAGTACCTTCCCAGGTCATTTCAGGGTACGGCTTCTCAAGTCCAGGTAAGTTAAAGGGGGCGTTGAGAGGCGTCCTGATAGGTAGAGCCCGGAGGACCCCCTCTCTCTCTCGCCATCTTAGACAGCTCCCTCGTTACGCTGGACACCTTGTTTCATGCGCTCCTTTCTGTCTCGGATGGAGCAGAGAGAGAAACAGGCCATATATATCTGGTTTGTTTAGCCAAAACGTCGGATTTACTGAAATTGGACTACACAGCTCTGGTAACTAACTACTTTACTATCCAAGTCTGTCACGCTGGAGACCTCGAAGAGCGTTTGGTCAATAACTACGTTATTTTGGGAATTGTAATAATAAATATTGGGGCGCAAGGCAGGGAAAGGCAAGCAGAAGACAAACGCGAAATGGGCAGGTTGACTTCAAGGCAATTGGCACCCGTATCCCGTATCCCGTATCCCGTATCCCGTTCTCCACCTTCAATTTGCTCGTTGTTTCTTTCTCTGATACTCCGTTCCATTTGCCACGAGCATCCTCCAGTTATCAGGTACGTACACATTTTTCCACCTGGGATGCTCTGTCCAAGCGGCAAAACTTGATGCCCTTGTTTGACTGTCATATATGATCATGTGACGTGGAGGAATGCTTCGATCACACGAAGGGCATATCCTAGATGTATCGCGGGCGTGATGATACAGTAGAATAACCAGCAGCATCATGAGATAACTGGACTTCGGGTTCCCAGAATCCAGCTGGACTGCTAGCAGCCTGCGCCCTCAGATGAACTGCACTTCCCAACTCCTAACTCGTAACCTCATCCAATCAGGTGGTTTGAGGATGATACCTATTTTCGGAGGAAATCTGTTCAGGATGACACGTTTGTACAGACAGGCCCTGAATGAAAAGGGCCAGGCAACACATACGCATACGCATATCATATTTCTAAGATATATACGGCGATGACAATCAATCGGGTATTCCCTTGAGCAAATGATCCCAACCATCCGGCCCAGTCAGTGATATTTCAACCTGACTCGCGCGTTCCATCTACTGAGTACCCTTCTATCGGTTCTTTGCGCATCACAAAACCCCATTCGCAAGAATAAAAAGAACAAAGACAGAAAAAGAAGGGGAAAAAAAAAAATTGCATCAAAAACTCAAGCGTCACGCTTTCTTCTTAGCAGCCGCCTTCGCCTTCGCAGCTTTTTTCCGATTACTCCGAATCATAACCACGCCAAGGAATGTTCCGACGACTGCGGAACCGAGCAGAGTCAGGATAACGGGGATGCGGATCGCCCAGACTCGCGGCGGGAAGAGGTCGTGGAGTGGATGGCCGTCGTCAACGAAGGGCTATTGGTTCCATTAGTATTTTTTTTTTTTTTATTTCCCCGACTTGTCAACTTCTTTTGTTTTGCCTGTGTGTTTGGGTTTCGCGGTTTGTGGTGAATTCATACCATGAGGAGAGTCCATGCTGTGTAGTATAGGTAAACCGCCGTCGCCACTAAAAGCATGGCTAGCCCGATGAGACGTCCAGACTGGTGTGTAAATACTTGATTAGCGATGTACTCTTTGTAAAGAAGGGGGGGGGGGTTCATGGGAGTATCAACCATCACTGCGACGAGAATATCTAGCTGCCCGTCTGGGATTGGGATTCGAGTGTAATGAATCAGAAGTCGCGCTAATTGGATCTCCCCGTGCGACAAATTCGACCACAAAGTTCGTCTAGAGAGCTTGAGTCGGACAATTTTACAATTCTTCCCCCGTCCTTTCTCGGGGGGTTTATCCCCCTCTCTTGTTTACGAAAGCCACAGCGGGCAATTCTATATCACGTGACGAGACAACGCGCTAGACTTTTTTCGGTTTGACAGACGAATCTTTTAGCCCTGCGAACAAAACAACTTCATCAACAACCCACTCTCCTTTCAGGGACTCGAGTGGACAGCCATATCGAAACATGACTTGAACGCAGCCATGAGAGCATCACATATTACTGAGAAAATGGAAGATCCAATGATGCTACAGTCAGCCGTTCGCCTGCCAACTCCTCCGCCGGGCGTATCCTTCTCCCCCCAGCCCCTTGGTGCTCGAAAACGGTCACCACCCTCTCGCTCCCCCTCACCTGACCGACGACGCTCTCCTCCAAATGGATTTTCTCGAGACGGGCCTCACGGGCCGTATGGCGAGACCGATCGTTCCATGGATCGGGACAGGGAGCAACAGCTCGCGGAACGGCTGCGAAAACGAGACGCTCCAGCGAAAGCCCTTACCGAAGAAGAGAAGCAAGCTGCTGCAAAAGCGGAATATGAGAAGCTGCTGAATATGCGCTCTGGCGGAACGTATATTCCCCCTGCGAAACTCAGAGCACTGCAAGCTCAGATCACGGACAAAACTAGCAAGGAGTATCAGCGGATGGCATGGGAGGCTCTCAAGAAATCCATCAACGGTTTAATCAATAAGGTCAACGTCTCGAATATCAAGCATATCGTCCCCGAGCTCTTTGGCGAAAACCTCGTCCGGGGAAGGGGTCTTTTTTGTCGAAGTATTATGAAGGCGCAGGCGGCCAGTTTGCCCTTCACGCCCATCTACGCTGCCATGGCTGCGATTGTCAACACCAAACTTCCACAGGTCGGTGAGCTCTTGCTAAATCGGCTCATCGTCCAGTTCCGCAAGGCTTTCAAGCGAAATGATAAAGCGGTTTGTATCTCGTCGACTACTTTTATCGCGCACCTGTGCAATCAACAGGTGGCACATGAGATGGTCGCGGCGCAGATCCTCCTTCTTTTGCTTCATAAGCCTACGGATGATAGCGTGGAGATCGCCGTTGGGCTGACAAGGGAGGTCGGGCAGTTCTTGGAGGAAATGGGGGGGCCGATTGCGCTGGCGGTGTTTGACCAGTTCAGGAATATTCTCCACGAGGCAGATATTGATAAACGTGTGCAATATATGATCGAGGTGTTGTTCCAGGTCCGTAAGGATCATTACAAGGATAATCCTGCGATCAAAGAAGAGCTCGATCTTGTCGAGGAGGAGGACCAGATCACACATCGCGTGAGCCTTGATGACGAGATCGATGTCCAGGATGGACTCAATATTTTCAAGTACGATGCTCAGTGGGAGGAACATGAGACGGCGTATAAAAAGCTGAAAGCCGAGATTCTGGGTGAGGTTAGTGATGAGGAAGATGATGACGAGGAGGGGACGGATGACAGCTCCGATGAAGAAGAAGAAGATGAGCAGGACAAGCAGATGGATATCAAGGACCAGAGCAATACGGATCTTGTCAATCTGCGGCGGACGATCTATCTTACTATCATGTCGAGTATTGATTTCGAAGAATGCTGCCACAAGCTCATAAAGATCACCTTGCCGCCAGGACAGGAGTCGGAGCTTCCGTCCATGATTATAGAGTGTTGCTCGCAGGAACGGACTTATTCCAAATTTTACGGCTTGATCGGGGAGCGTTTTGCGAAGCTCAACAGGCTCTGGGCAGACTTGTACGAGGCTGCCTTTGTCAAATACTACGAGACCATCCACCGCTACGAAACGAACCGGCTCCGGAATATTGCAAAGTTCTTCGGACATATGTTCAGCTCGGACGCTATTGGATGGCATGCGTTGTCGATAGTGCATCTTAATGAGGAAGAGACGACATCCAGCAGCCGTATCTTCATCAAGATTCTCTTCCAGGAACTCACAGAGGTCCTTGGAATGACGAAACTACAGGCAACTCTCAACGATGAAATACTCAAGCCCAGCTTTGAGGGATTGTTCCCAACTGATAATCCAAGAAACACCCGTTTCTCAATCAACTACTTCACAAGTATCGGCATGGGTGTTCTCACAGAAGGGATGCGTGAGCATTTGAAAAATATGCCGAAGCCATCCATCCCCGCCTTACCTGCGCGAGCAGCGGAATCCGACTCGGAATCCGTCAGCTCATATTCAAGTTACTCATCATACACCGGCACCTCGAGGTCCCGTTCTTATTCGCGCTCCCGTTCTCCTTCTCGTGGTCGAAGAAGGTCAGGTTCGCGCACTCGCTCTCCCTCGTCTATGCCTAGATCCCCAGGCACCAGCAGGAGCAGGAGCAGAGACAGAAGCTACACCCCATCCCGCTCCCGCTCCCGGTCTCCACCAACCAGACGCCGGGGCAGACAGCCCTCATATTCCCGATCCCCATCTCCTGCATCCCGCAGATCTCGATCCGTCTCATATTCCCCCGTCCGCCGTCGATCGCCGCCCACCCGAAGGGACGAATCGAGAGGCAAAGCACTTGCCGGCAAGCGAAGCAGCAAGCGCTCACCACCCCTCTCAGCCACCCCACCCCGCAGCCGCGGCCAAGCCAATGGCACCGGCCGCAGAGCAAGAAATTACTCAGTCTCGTCATATTCGCGCTCCCCATCTCCCCCGCCCCGCTCAAGTAGGGGACGACGACGACATTCGTCTTCACCTTCACCTTCCCCTTCCCCCTCACGCTCCCGTTCTCGCTCCCGTTCTCGCTTCGGTTCATGCTCCCCGCCGCCGCGAAAACAACAAAAAGACGGCAGAGACCGCTCACGCCATCGATCAATCACGCCCCCTCCACGCACCAGAACACACAGAGGCCGAAGCAAGAATAGACACCCGTCCGTATCCCCGCACCGCTCCCCTTCCCCACCGCCGCGAAAACAACAAAAAGACGGCAGAAACCGCTCACGCCATCGATCAATCACGCCCCCTCCACGCACCAGAACCCACAGAGGCCGAAGCAAGAATAGACACCCGTCCGTATCCCCTCACCGCTCCCCTTCCCCATCTCCACGGTATTTGCGAAGGGATGGCACATCTCGTTCGCGATCGCCTCGTCGCTCTGTTACTCCGCAAAAGCGGGGGCGTGTGCAACGTGGTGGTGGTGGCGGCGGTGGGCGGCGACGTTCATTTTCTCGATCACGGTCTCGGTCTCGATCTCCGTCCCGGTCTCCGATTCGAGCCCCGGTGTCTGGTGGGCGAGCGAGGGCGGCTGATTTCTTGTAGTTGCAGTTGTGGGGTAGGGTAAGGTTTTATTGAAGCGTGGAGACGGTGATGGTGATGTTGGGGAGGGCACAAGATGAAAGGAAAAGGGTCATTGAAATGTTTTGTGTGATGGTTAATAAACTTTCAGCATCTTGAAGAAAGAATTGATGTTTTTTTTTTTTTTTCACTCTTGTCTTTTAGTAATCCATTTTGCTTTCTTTTTTATCTCTTTTCATTGCTTTCGGTTTGGATGGTGCTTGGTTTGGCGCATATATCACCAGATTATATTTTATTGAAGCTCTTCTTATGTTTCTTGTAGCAGTAGGCCCTTGCATGAACCATCCTGCATTTTATAAAATTTGGTACTTAAGTTTATTATTCCCTCTTCTCATCCTCAAAACTATTGAATGTCCATCTAATTTTATCCATGCATGTCACTTCAATTTATTTTAGATTCTGCTCATTTCAAGAATAGATTTGATGCAGATTATTTTTTTCTTTCTTAAAATATCATTGATAACTCTTTTCATTTTAAGAAGTTAATATGTGCATTCTCAATACTCAAACTTACATGTATCTATTCTTTATCAACATGGCTAATGATTGTTACGGCGCTGTCGCTGGTAATATGGGATAGGCTGATCCCAACCACCTTATATTATTCGGCTGCTCGTCTCATTCCCACGTTCTAATCCTCAGTTTAGTATTTTCGTTGCAGCTACCTAGTTAGATAGATGAATTGAGCTTTTGTCTTATTACCATCATGCCTCTAGATTGAGCTATGACAACTATATAAAATTAAAAATTAAACTATTAAAAGTTAAATTAACAATTATAAATTATTAAATATTTAAACTTTAGTTTTAATATAAAAATAAAAAACAAAAATTATATAAATAAGAAATATTTTATTTTATTTAATTGATTTTTATTTTATTTTTATAAAAATAAGTTACTTAATTAAAAAATTAAAGTTAAATTAAAAAACCTTAAATAGTTAAGTATAAAGTTTTATATATAACTAACTAACTAGTTAACTATTAGTTAACTAGTTGAAAGCAATTCTTGCTTAATAATAATAAATATTATAAAGTTTAAATCTTCATCTTTATAGTTAAAGCTTTTTACATTTTGTTTACAACATTGATGCTAAAAATTATAGAAAATTGATCTTGATAATTTGCTTATTTAAAGAATTAATTCATCTGCTTGAGAACTATATTATCTAAAAATTGACAAGTGAAGATTGTGAAAGTGTAACTAAAATTAAACAACATATGAGATCAACTGAAAAAAATAAAATCTGCTTTCACCAGCTTCAAATTGAATAATAATAAATATTAGTCAAAATAGCTCTCATTCAGGGCCATGTCACTTTCAGTATATAGCATGACAAGCATAGCATAGGATGTAACTTGGGTATTTTTCATCTATCAGTCACCTCACACGCCTTCTCGACCTTTGGCTCCTTTCATTCTTCATCTTGACTCGTCATTTGTCACAGATATTCCTCCATCCGATGGTTAAAGGCAACCACCTGGTGCGCTGGTTGCAGGCCATCGAATATTCCAGGGACTGATGTAAGTGTGTCACCATGGTACGTACCACAGGTGAAGCAAAGAAAGTTGGTAAGTAGCTCCGCTGGAGCAGAGCCACATTTCTTAAGTTTCTTTCACAGTTGAATCTCTTGGATCTTTCGCCCAAGTTCACCTGGATGTACAGGTGGCATGTTAAATGATGTGGACATAAACATGGAGGGAAAAGTGGGCGGTTGTATAATTGAGTGGAAGAGGTAGGTATGGCTATAACTGGGAATGGGACACGCGGGGAAGAAGGACGATTTGAAGCTGAAGACATACCTTCGCAGCCAACCTTCTCGCCTCTGGATCTCCCAGCTCTCAATCCAACCCTCGATCCGTTGACGACTAATGGCTCACTTCTCTTCGGGGACCTGGACTCACTGGATTTCGGCACAGAACTAGTCACAACCGTGGGTGACTTTGGATCGGTTGGTGAAGGTGCGGTTACTGATGAACTCGTTTTCACAACGTTCCCATCTCTGTTCCCATTTCCAGATCCAGATCCAGATCCACGTTCATTTGTGCTTCCGCTTTCAGCCATATTCTTGTTCCGATCGACATGAGAAGGAGAGTCCGCACCGCTCCCATTCGCGTTACCATTACTACCACCATTCCCAGTAAAGCTGCAGCTTCGTCCATTATCCCCGATCGAACCGAACACGAATTCTTGATCCCTTGAAATATGTATTGTCAAAAAGCGTGATGGCTCTTCTTGCTTCCTCTTTCGTTCGGAACGTTGCCGTCGCATATCCCCTTGATCGACGACCCCCCCCTTTTCGATCTTCGCGAATATCGCATCTCTCTACAATACCCGCTTTCCGAAGATGATCTTTTAAATATTGCCACGTGGTGTCACTGGCAAGATTCTGTATGAATATGCTGCACGAGGGTGACATTCTAGAATCTTCGCAAGGTATGTTAACGTTGTTGTTGGCATTACAGGTTTGACGGGGTATAATGTGACCATATAGTTCGTAAAGGGGCTGGATACAAGTTGATATGGAATACCTGTGGACTCCGATCGGCGAGGGTTCAAATTGCGGGCCTAGAACCGAGGCTTGCATGGGAAAGTGAATGTCACTGGGGTAAATCACGGGGAACTGGTAACCTAGTACATCCGTAGTAAAGGAAACGAGTGGAGTATGACAAAGCGTATTTGTATTGGTGACAAAGTGCGAATACTCTGGTGATGGAGCATAGGGCGGAGGGGGCGAAAGATTCCTGCTCTTGTTTGTAAGCCCATGCGCTATCAAGTGGGTAGAGAAAGCCTGACAGTTCCTATCAAAACTTACTCAGGGGGCATAGTGCTTGTCGCGGTCGAAACCGGGGGTGCACATCTCTGAGGATTCGAGAATCCCCCAGCAGTGTATGGGACTCTGCCTGTGGATGGACTCCTGGTAGGCCCTGCAATGGGTTTGGTTGGCGCACTTGCGAGTGATAGCGTAACCGTTAAGCAATTGCCATTCCACCCGTTGATTGACAACCTGTCTATAGAGCTGGTCAGAAAAAAAATCGACATTAACGACCATTTCGTTGCTGTTGCTTACGGTAAGTACGCCACGCTTCATCCTCATTCTTAATGATAATCTGTCCTAGTCCGGTGGGGTGTCCGTTGCAATCATCGTAAACTACCGCCTGTCGTATATGTAGTGCAGTTTGACGTACAAGATCTTTCAGTTCCTGCCACCGACACTGGGGCGGGATCTATCAGGGAGCGGGGCCAACAATCAACGCCTTTTCCCGCGGATAATCGGCATGGAGGATGACATGGGGAAAGAGAAAACAAAAGAGCTTACACCTTGGATAAAAACGACATATTCTTCATCAGATGACCGAGAATGCCTCCGGCCATCTCGGTGTCTTGTTGAGATTGGCATGGCTGTTTCTTCGGCGGTTGAGGAGGGATATAGTTAAAGCTACTCAACACAGAGGGGCTAGAATGCTCCTTGAATGGAACTGAGGAAGGATCCGTTCTGATTAGTGCCCTCAGGAATGCTGAGACAAAGGATGCTGTCTAGGTGCCAGAATTTGAGCCGTCCCGTCGCTTGGTGGAATGAGCCTTCGTAAAATGGGTCCGCTTGAAATGGTAGCAAACAGAGAATACGAAGTTCTCCAGGAACTGCAAAGGATAGGCCAGAAGGTGGTCAGAGGAGGATATCGATATGGCTAGACATCTATTCCAGATTCCGACAGTGGTGCACTTCGACTTAGGGATTTCGTGGGAAGGTCAAGGCGGGAGACAAGAGATGTTGGCGAGCAGGGAGATCAAATCGAAACGAGCTTCGCAAGATGGGAGTTCCAGGCCGGAGGAGGGGGTGATTGTAGGTGAAATGGGCGTAACACATAAAAGAACAGTTATATATATAACGGCAGACTGCAGACTTATGGGTAAATGTTGGGTTCAAAACAACCAGAGAGAGAATGAACGGGGTTTTAAAACAAGAACAAATTGGCAACAAAACCACCCAAGAGATCAGCCCAGAGAGAAGAAACTACCCCACGAAACGTATAGGAAAGGTAAGAAAGGGCAGGTGTTCTGTGGATCTCAGGTGGCTAGCCCTCCTCCGCTTCAAGATTAGGATAACTCAACAGCCAGACAAGCAAGGTTATTGGGTGGGAAAGATGGAATGCTGGACAGCAGCCACAGTGCGTCTATCATCGAATTACAACCAGTGGGATGTTATTCAAAAACGAGGCTGCCCATGGGCTTTGGTTCCCTGTTCGTGCATTTGATCGATCGATAGACAGAGAGTCCTCCGGATGGATATTCCAGGTCTAACATCTAGGATCCTCGTTCAACCCGTCACCCCAAACAGTGTATCAGTGTGTATAAATGAGTTAAGGAGGTTAATGAGGAGGGAAGTTGTCAAGTAATTGTTGT